AATATCGGGACAGTCCCGATAAAATCGGGACGTCTGGTCACCCTATGCTCTAATAAATTTGTTAGTCTCTAAGGTGCCACAAGTCCTCCTGTTCTTCTTCTTGTTGTTTTTGTAGATACAGACTAACACGGCTACCCCCGATACTTGACTCCCTAACCTTGTCACTGATCTCGCAGGGTTTGGGGCTTCCCTGGACGCTCGGCCCCGGAGTCAGGTCACCCCACCAGAGTCCCGCCTGCTCCCAAGAGCTTCCGCCTCACCGCGGGGCAGAGAAAACCAGGACCACGTGACCCGGCCCCAATAGCAAATAACGGGACGTGTTGGGGCCGGGGCAGGTCGCTGAGCGCTGCGAGGGGTGGGGGCAAGAGCCTCACACGCCCCGCCCGGTGCTCCGGCTCAGAACGGAAAACAGAGAACAAGCTTGAGCGGCCTCACGTCACCACTGGCGTGGGCAACCAATCAACGGGCTACCCCTCCCTACGGGCCCGATGGCCCAGAGCCACGGGACCGCGGCTGCCCCTCCTTGAGTAGAGCTCCCGCCTGTCCTGCGGTGGGCCGGTGTTGTTCCTCGTCGGCTTCCGTCGCGCCCCTCTTTCCATCCGCAGCGGCAGCAGAATTCTTCATGAGAGCGGGCGGCGGGTCGTACCCACTCGGCTAGAGAGCCCCGCCCACACCACCTAAACAACAGCTGAGTGCCCCCCCCGCGCTCTGGCCACGCCCTTTGGATCCCCCCTTCCCACCACGCAGAACGTACTGGTATCATGTCATGGCCCCGCCCACCACGCTCTCCCCTCCCCACCCTGCTAGAGCGGGCTCACTCGTGTCCCGCGGCGCCTTCTGCCCGGTGGGAGCCCCGCCTTCGCCCTGCGGCTGCCTCGCCCCAGCTGCCCGGGACGCTCGTGTGGCTGGTGTCAGCGCGCGGCGCAGGCCGCTCCGCCCTGCGGACGGGTACGGTGACTTCTCTTCTCAGGCAGGGGCGGAGGGCTCGGGCGCGGCCTGCTCGGCTGCCGGTCCCGGCCGTTGTGTGTCTGTTTGGGGCCCTGCCCTCCCTGTGCCCGGGCCTCGTAGTCAGTGCCACGCTCGGCCTCTGCCAGCCGGGACCCCGCGCCGCCTGGCTTAGCCCTGCCCCGCCCCGCCCGGCCCACTGACACCACCAGGACTCCGTCCTAAGGTTGCCTGCGATGGGCCCGGCCTGGCCCTTCGCTTTGCCAGCGATGACTCCCGTATCTTCAGCCTGGCTGTGCCCCTTGCTCCGGAACAGGCCCTGCCACGCTGACTCCTGCCCGAGGTCCATCAGTGATGGGTCCACCCTCCACCCGCACACCATGCGCTGGCTATCTCAGCTGTCAAACCCGCCTACTCCCAGTGCCAAACTCCTACCCGCCCCCCACACCCATGCTCCTTTCAGCTGCTCGACCCACCTATCTCTCTTCCCCGCCACTTCCTTCCAGCTGCTGAACTAGGGTTGCCAACTTTGGTTGGATGAATTCCTGGAGATTTCATTACATGACATAATCTTTAATTAAAAATTAATTTTTAGTTCCTGGAGATTTGGCAACCCTGCCTGTCCCTCCCAGTTCCAAACTCTTACCCTGCCTCCTGGGTCCTTCCAGTTGCCAAATCCGCCTGCCCCTTCCAGTGCCAAACTCCTACCCTGGCCCCAGGATCCTTCCAGCTTCCAAACCCACCTCCCCCACCCCAAGTGTTGAACACCTTCTCCTCCCACTCCTTCAAGCCACCAAAATCATCTGCCCTTCCCAGTACTAAACATCTACTCCCCCAGGCTCTTTCCAGCTGCTAAACCCAGCTACCCCTTCCACTCCCCTACTGCTGAACATCTACCCCACCCTGGCTCTTTCCAGTCCCCAAACATTTCCAGTCACTGCACATCCCAGTGCTGAACACCTACCTACCCACCCAAGTTCTTTTCATCTGCAAAATCCATTTGTATCTACCATTGCTGAACCCGGACCTACCCAAGCTCTATCCGCCTGCCATATTTATCCACACACACCAGTGACAGTGCTCATCTCAGTAACGCCATCTTTTTCTTAGGGAAAGCTAATCCTTGCATTACCAGCACTGTACATAGTCAAACCTAATGTCCTTTCTTCTCCTGATGTGATGCATCATTTTAGCAGGCATGTGTATGTTTCATGCTGTTAATGAAAGTAGATCACCATTCCATAACAGACTCCATGGAGAACTAACATATGGCAAAATGCACATTGTGTTACTAGTGTTCCAGTGAATGCTAGAAATTCATATATCTTCACACAACAGCTGTGGGCAGTAGCAAAATGGTTAACCTGATTGCTCTGAGTTTTGTTTTTGTTTTTTATATAACACTGATGCCCAGAGGCCCCAGCTGGACCCACACTGTTCAGGGGTACAAACAGGCAGTGAAAGACAGTCTCTGCTCCAAAGAGCTTGTAAGCTAAGCTGGGACAAGGGGGTATGGAACACAACAGAGGGAGGGGAGGTTAGGCGGAAGATGAATTTGACAGTAAAAGTGATACAAGATTGTACATATTCTTAGCAATGTGTAGAATTTGGAAGCTTCACATTTTTTTAATGGCTGTAAAAAGACTGTAGATCAGTGGGCTTCCAGATTTTTATGTCAGGTCCCCCCTTACCTGTAATGGAATCTATCCGTGTCCCTGCCCCCTGCTCAGGGGCTGTGGCCAGGAATTGGGCTGTGGTCGAGGCCGGACCTGCAGCTGGGGCTGCGTCCAGAGTCAGGCCTGGGAGTGGAGCTGTGTTGGGGCCGAGACCGGAACTGGGGGTAGGGCTGGGTGGCACTCCCTCCCCGTCCCCCGTGGGGGCTAGCCTGGGCTCTGCTATGCCCTTCCAAGCTTTCCTCCGTGCCTCCCTAGGGGGCATGCCCCACAGTTTGGGGACCACTGCTGTATATTTTGAAGTATTTGCTTTTTGCTAATGTAATTAATATAAAAAAGGATTTATCCAGTGTAGGTGGTTAGTTGACTATATATAGGTTTTTAAAAATAGCCAAGTCACTTTTATATAGTTGTGTACTTCACTTTATGTGAATTATTATTTCTTATTTAAAGGTCTGTTGGTCTACATGTTGCTGAATGGACAGTTCCCAAGAGCATGGAGTCTGCCCCTGAGAGCTAACAATCCATGAACCGTGCAAATACAATGCTACTGAGCCACAGGTAAAAAATATCCAAAACATTAATTCACAAACTAACTATTAAAGAAAAGCAATGCAATAACTGGAAGAAAAGGTGAGGACATAATTGTGCTAGGGTTACGAGTTAAAAGAAGTGTTGAACCAGATGTGGTGAGATGTGTGTGTGTGAGATCGAGATTTTGGTTTGCAGTGACTGGGAGGATATTCAAAAATGAAGGGTGGTGGTGTATAGGTAGCCTTTTAGGTCTTGTTGAGGATAGCCTAAAAAGCTTTTATCCTAGTGTAGACAGGGCAAGTTGTATTTTAACACATTAGGTGGTTGAGGTAAACATTAGGAAACAGGCTTGGGTTCACCTTGACCAGATTATACATGTTAAAATACAACTTGTCCTATCTATACTTGAGTGTTAAAACATATTTAATGTCAACTCTCGCCTTAATGGGAGGAGAGAGTCAACCAATACAGAGTTTTGAAAAGAGGGATGTGATAGAAGTTATACATTCTGAACAGTTTGACACTACAAGTAGTAACCCACGCACTTCTGAATAGTTCTTGTTACGTTACATTTAGGATTTTAAATAGTTAAGATTGTCATAATATTGAATGTTAAAATAGTTTTTAGGATGTGTGAAACAGCTGTCTTTTTATGCCGGAACACAGTATATGAAATTACACAAATGATGTCTGACTTTGAAGTATTTAGTATGAATCTGTTATACACAGTTTTTTATTTCAATATGTTACATTTAGATGTTCCTGGAATCTGTAATTAACATTAGGTGATGCTAATCTGTGGTAGGAATTTAGTATGGAAGGATTTAGTGTCCCCTCTGTGCATCCATGTGTAATGATAATTAACAGATTTCCCCTTTGCCATCTTTTATCTAAGGTGTACATATTAAGTTCCATTAATCTTTCTTCATAGGTCATGCCCTCCATTCCTTTTGTCATCTATATATTCCTTGTAATTTATCAGTGTTGGTAGGGGTTTTTTATAGCGAGCAGAACAAAACCCTGCATAGTACTCCCAAGTGTGGTATTAGCAAGACTGGCGTAAAGAGGAGTTATTACTTCTCTGGCCTTAAAAAAAATGTTTCCTCCCTCCAACCCCCCCATATGTACATACTAGTATATATAGTATTCACTTTTCTTGCGATAGCATCATCCCTCAAGCTCATATCTAGGAAATACACTGTAGGGAGCAATCCTGCCCTGGCATGGGGATGAACTAGATGACCTCATATCTTTTCAGACTCTAATTTCTGTGATTTGTTGTATGCTGTCACTCCAGATCCTTCACTTTACTGCTCTCAAAGCAACAATATTCAATTTTTTTCTTTTGCGTGGTGGTCTGATGGGTCAGTGACTCATGTTGCACTCATATGACCTATTTTCCCCTTGTACATCAAAAATGACTTGAAGGACTGGTAAACTGACTTTGAAAGATTAAGTGAATTAAATAGATAAATTGATCACTGATATGGGAGGTCGGTCAGAGGCCAGAAAATGACTGTGTATATGTAAATTCCAAAGAAGGGGCTAAAATTGTCCAAAGGAATGTAACTAAATATAATCTTACCTGGTGTGAAGACTGGATGAAAATTATCGTGCAGCAGTGACTTATTTTCTCTTGAATGCTGTGTGTATAAAGTTTCTGGAGTACAT